AGCAGGGGGAGCAGCAGGCAGAGGGAGAGCGGGCTCCTTGCTGAGCAGGGAGCCCAATGCGGGGCTCAATCTCAGGACCCTGGGATCATGACCTGAGCCGAAGGCAGCCGTTTAACTGACTGAGCCACCCAGGCGTCCTGGTTATTTTGAATTTATGACTGTTAAATAATACTAGGGTTAAAATCCTGAATCACAAATCTTGGTGTGAGCTTTGATCTCTGTAAGTACAAACTGCTGGTTGTAGAGTCACTGGTCCTGAGTTAAGAAACTTTTAAAGGCCATTGACGCACAACGCCAACCGCCCTGCCGAAGAGTTGTACCTGTTTTCACGTCATCGGCTGGCAAGAAGCTGCCTCTTCCCCAAGAGCAGAGTCGGTAAAATCCTGCCATGGTGACAGTTTGGGGTTGGCCCTCTGCAGAAGAATCGTGGGGGTCTGTCATCCTCATAATCAGGTGACCCTTGTATTTTACACAGTTAGATTTTTTGGATCCACTGACAGCATGATGATGGGGTTTTACTATAACAAGGGATTTTAAATCTGTGCCAATTTGAGAGGGGAAGAATAAAAACAAAAGCAAATTGTTTCATTTTGCATTTCTTTGAATACCAGTGAGGCCAAACTTTCGTTCACAGATGTTTTGGCTCTTGTTTATTCCTCTTTCCTCAATTGCTTACATTATCCTTTGCTCATTTTTTTTCCCATCAGAATATTCATGTTTTTCTTATGATTTTAAAGAATTCTTTAAAAAATAGTAAAAGCTAACATCAAGGAAGCACTTAAGAGCTAGGTACTCTTTTAGGAGCTTTACATGTTTTCTCTCTTTTAACCCTCACACCAAACCTAGGAGGTATTATTCCACCTAGTTTGCAGATGCAAAGGTTAAGTGACTTGTCTAAGGTCACATAGCTAGAGAATGGCAGATCTAGGATCTCATCTCAGGTCGTCTTGTTCCCAGAGATCATTAATTCATCAGATTAATCATGTTGCAAACATTTTCCCCATTCTGTTACCTTTTAATTTTTTGGGTTGGTTTGGGATGGAAAACAGTTTTTGCAAGTTAATTTAATGGGGGAGTTTCTGGATCCATCTCGTGTTATTCTGGGAAGGAAGTGCATTTCTAGTAAATAGAAGTGCTTTCTTTAGGAGGTCCATTGGGCTCTGGTGCTCTGCAAATTCAAGCTGGCCCCGGGACCGGGGTGTGGCGGTTACCTACCTACCTGATGGCAGCCCGCTCTCCCGACTGGAACCAACATGTGCCACCAGAGGCTTTAGGATTCCCAGTCATGGGCCTCAGGGAATGGACTTGTGCTCCAGCTCCTGCAGAGCGTTCTGTGTCCCTTACTCTCTGAGCCCTGTGTGGCTACCCAAGGCAGAATCATCCCTCTGACGGAGATGTGGTGGTGAGCTCAGCTGAAGAGGCAAGGGACCATTTTTAAACTCCAGATCCACAATCTCTTATACAATATCCTTGAAGTCAAATGTACTTCGGAACTGAGAGTAGCAAATTTTTCTGGAGCAAAGTGAACAAATATTCACCCAAAGTGGGGTAAAAAAAGAAGACTGTGCACGAACTTACAGCAAGGTCAGGTTTTGATGCTAAATGAGCTTGTCCCACATTTATGAAAGCACATCAGCTTTTAGACTTTTAGGATTTCCGAACTGTGGACAAGGGCTTTGGGATCTGCAGACAATTTATTGTCTGTTGGGAGGTAATGTAATAAGGTCAAAAACCCCCATGTAGATTCTATCCACCTCGGAGTGGATTCATTATTCTATACCTGGTATTCACAGAGGTGTCATCTCCTGTGTTCCCCTCTTCCCGGTTCACAACTTGGGGGGAAATGTATGATTGTGAGGTACAACAGAGACAATCCTCCCATGATCGGGTGCCTGCTCCTTGTTGCCTCTTTCTTGGTCATGGCAGTTCAGGGAGGCTGGCTCACACCAGGGAGCCAATCTCTGTCTTCTGGCAAGTGCTACCACTTTGCACCCTCAGACCAGGAGTCAAAAGTAGGTGGAAAGCTGCTCATATTCAGCCCCTGTTCTTCATGAGCAATGAGGTAACTTTTTTTTTAAAGATTTTTATTTATTTATTTGAGAGAAAGAGAGAGAGACAGAGAAACAGCATGAGAGGGGAGAGGGTCAGAGGGAGAAGCAGGCTCCCCGCTAAGGTGGGAGCCCGATGTGGGACTCGATGCCAGGACTCTGGGATCATGACCTGAGCCGAAGGCAGTTGCTTAACCAACAGAGCCACCCAGGCGCCCAGCAATGAGGTAACTTAAAATGTTCTGCAGCAATGTCAATCTTTTACTTTTTCCCCCATGCTCACTAGAAATGGAGCCCTTCTTGATTCAGATTGGTAAATATTTTCTGAACAGAAGAGTGCCAGACTCATCTTCCTTAAATTCTGCCGTGATCACGTCATTTCTCTGCTCTAAAACTTTCAAAGGCTTTCCATTGCAAACTGAATAAAATTTTTCAAGACCGTTACATACTTTCTTCTGGCTTCTTCTCTGGTCTCCCAGAGATGTGCGACGTTGTCGCTCTGCTCCTGCACTGGATCCCAGAATGCCCCAGCGGGATTCAGCTCTAGTTACTTATAGTAGCAACTTGCTTAATAACGAACTCTCTATTGGTTTTCTTTCCTTCCCTGCCTCATGTCCCCATTCCCTTACCCAAATTCCCTGGAACTTAACTTTTTTTTTTTTTAGAAGGAGAAAGAGAGAGGGTGCGGGAGAGGCAGAGGGAGAGGGAGAGAATCTTGAGCAGGCTTCCCGCCCAGTGCAGAGCCCAATGCGGGGTTGGATGTGGGGTTCGATGGAGGGCTCCATCTCACAACACTGAGATCATGACCTGAGCCCAAATCAAGAGTCCGATGCTTAACCAACTAACGCCCACCCCGACCCACCCACCCCCGGAATTAACTTCTAAATAAATTATTTGCACTTGAGTTTTACCTGGTCCGGCTTGGGGGAAACCCAAAGTTTCTTCCTAAATAGGCTTGTACTTCCTTCTGCCTACATAAGAGGTAGCACAGGATGGTGGGGTAAGCACGGGTTTTGCATCAGACAGACCTGGGATTGAAACTTGGCTCTGCCACAGACGAACCTGTGGCCCTGGGCATTTTACAGAAGGCGAAAGGGGTCGTTAGGACCATGTGAGGCTGAGACTGACAATGATACATAGTTGGCACTCGAGTTGCATTTTGCTTCTCCAAATTCCTGTATCTTTATTTGAGCTAGTCCCTCTGGCTGGAATGCCCTTTCGCCGCCATTTTTGTCTGTAGAAACCTTGCATTTGTCTCAGCCCCAGGGCCTTCTCGGAATAATGCAACAAGGAATGAAGCTTTGCGCCTCGTTGCCAGCAGTGTGTGTTATTAGGAGCGCTTACACGGCACTGATCCTAAGCTGAACTGCTTTGTGATGATTGGTCTCCCTCTTTCCTCCCCTACTCTTTGTGAGCTGATAGTAGCAGAAACTACATCTGGATCTAGGACAAGGCTTTCTGGAGAAGACTCTTGGCTTTGACAATTAGCCTATTAAACTAACATGTGTATGTATAGTTTCCATAGCATAAATACTAAATAACAACAACAAAAAGAAGATGCAATGTGATCTTACATTGTGGATTGTCCCCTTTCTGCTGCCAGGGCTGGTGGGCAGAAGGCATAAACAAGATGGTCTTCTGCAGGGGGCCTGGTGGGTCCTATGGAAGCTTCCCCAACAACCTCAGGACAGCAGCACCAACAGCCCGGCAAAGAAGTCTCGTCAAAGTGTCACCGGGCTATGAATAAACCATTCAGGACATTCACCTTCCAGGAAGGTCCCCCAGCCCTGTGGTTGAGTGGAGCTATGATAACCAGCTCACATGCAGGGGAAGAAAGCCAAGATCCCATAGCACTAATATTACACCCATATAACTTCGTTTCTAATCCCTATTATAAACACCTTGTATCTGTTCAGGCTTCCATAACAAAATTACCATAAATTGGGTGACTTATAAATAACACACTTTTATTTCTCACAGTTCCTGGAGGCTGAGAAGTCCAAGACCAAGATGCCAGCACATTCGATGTCTGGTGAGAGCCTGCTTCCTAGATGGCCGTTTTTGTTTTTTGTTTTTTGGATATTTTCTGTTATAATTTCACATGGCAGAAGGGGCAAGGGAGCTCTCTTGGGTTTCTTTTATAAGGGCATGAATCCCATTAATGAAGGCTCTGCTGTCATGACCTAATCACCTCCCAGTGGTTCGACCTCCTAATAGCATCACCCTGCAGGCTTAAGTTTCAACATATGAATTTGGGGAGCTGGAGGGGATGCAAACATTCTGACCACAGGACCCTGGCTTTTCAAAGTTGAGAAAAGAAAATAAATTGACCTTTTATTTCCCAGGATCTTGGGACCTAAAGGCAATGGGGAGTCAATCTCAGGGCAATTTCTGCCAGTGAACTGTTCCCTCTACTTAGACAAAGCCCTTCTTTGTGTTCTTCTCTCACCCTGCCTTGTGGGACCTTCCTGGAAGGTGAATGTCCTGAATGGTTTATTCATAGCCACGGTGACACTTTGACGAGACTTCTTTGCCGGGCTGTTGGTGCTGCTGTCCTGAGGTTGTTGGGGAAGCTTCCATAGGACCCACCAGGCCCCCTGCAGAAGACCATCTTGTTTATGCCATCTGCCCACCAGCCCTGGCAGCAGAAAGGGGACAATCCACAATGTAAGATCACATTGCATCTTCTTTTTGTTGTTGTTATTTAGTATTTATGCTATGGAAACTATACATACACATGTTAGTTTAATAGTCCACAAGGCTAATTGTCAAAGCCAAGAGTCTTCTCCATGCCTAGGTCATTCAAGTTCCCCAGAGGCAGTGACATGCAACATTTTTAACTCTTTCTTTTGATATTTACTTTCATATCTCTGAGTAACATTCTTATATTGTTACTTCTTCATAATGGCTAAAACTACAAAAGAACCAAGATTTAACTTCTTTCCATAGCATTACTCCACCTCCTGAAGCCCACTTCCTATCCTGTTATTCTCTCAAAATAGTTATATCATCATGTAGAAAATGTCAATAATCAGCGTTTATATGATTACAACTATGTAAACACTGGTTTTCATCACTGAGCCAGGTTGTATACTCTTACTATTCCTGTGTTGCACATTTATTTTTTAATTTTCCTAGAAGTTAGTGATTGCCTTGTTTTATCATTTGCTTAATTTTCTATGTACCAATCATTAATTCAGCCCCAAAACCTCCCCCCAAGAGTTGAAATGTTCTCTCAGTGTTTTCAAATATATCAGATATTCTATCAATTTCAGCCTCTTCAAGACATCTTCTCTGGATGGAACATTCTGATGTGTTCCATCCTGGTCTGGTTCTCTCTACCCCAAGTATGAAATTGTCATCTTGAGAATCTCTCTTTTCCATAGTCCCAGGAACTTTATTTACGCCTCTCTTTCTGAGACTTTGCATGTTCGAAAATATTTTTATTCTACCCTCACACTAAACTGAGAGTTTTGCTGAATAGAGATCTCTCACAATTTTAAAGGCAATTCTCTATTGTCCTTTAACTTCCACTGAAATAATCATGGCTGTATATCGGCATTTGCATCAGTTTCCTGAGCATAATTTCCCACAGGGTAACACAAAGAAGGCTGGATGATGCCTGCATATGCAGTAGGTTATGGAAGAGGAACCCCAAGCTTAGGGAGCCCTAATCTTTTATAATGCATAGGAAATCTTTCTGGCTTTTGCTCGGGGGTAAGATGGTATATTGGACAGCAAACAAACGTACCCTCCGCCTAGGAGGGAAACATTATCTCTATCTTTCTTTTTTTTTTTTTTTAAGATTTTATTTATTTATTTGCAAGAGAGAATGAGAGTCAGAGAGCACGAGAGGGAGGAGGGTCAGAGGGAGAAGCAGACTCCCCGCCGAGCAGGGAGCCCGATGCGGGACTCGATCCCGGGACTCCAGGATCATGACCTGAGCCGAAGGCAGTTGCTTAACCGACTGAGCCACCCAGGCGCCCCATTATCTCTATCTTCCAAGGCTGTTTGCTATATACACATCTTTGAAAAGATAGCCTGGAGCAAAAGCTAGGGCCGGTACTTGAGAAACATCCAGAAATGTGAGAGACTCATAAAGAATTATCTCCCAACATTGTTTGTTCTCTATATTTCATGTTAAACACTTTCCTCAAATGTCTGGTGATTCTTGGCTATGTGCTCATGTTTAGGAACTGCCTCCGTGCTATCAACTTAGCGGTCTGAGTTTTGAAAGCCAAGTGGAAGAAAGAAGGCTGTAGGGGATAGTGTGGTAGAGAGGCAAGTTTCAACTTTTAGGATTCCAGCTTCTACTTAGCCCCCATTTTACAGTAAAGTTCCTTAACTTTCAGCTATGCCTGCTGTCCTTCAGTCCAGAGGCCCCTTGTTTTATGCTCTGTAGGCTTCACTGTTCATGGCCACTAGTCACATGTGCCTATTGAACACATGAAATGTAAATAGTCCAAATTGAAGTAAGCGGTAAGTGTAAAATACTTCTTAATTTCAAAGAGTTAGTACAAAAGAAGGTAAAATATCTCATTAGTAATTTTTATGCTGATCATGTACTAAAATGATAAAATTTTGTATACATTGGGTTAAATATATTATTAAAATTATGTTTGTCTTTTTCTTTTTACTTTTAGAAAAAATGTGGCTAGTGGAAAATTCTGAGGTTTAGGAAGTTCTTCCTCAGCACTTTTTGGTGATACCTAAACACATATCTCTTCTAATCAGAGGAAGCTGATTTCCAGGATCTTTTGGTCCTTTTCCTCAACCGCCCAGTAAGCCCTTTTTCTATCATAGTGTTTTTCTCTTTGGCCACCTCTAGGAAAAGTTCTTTCATTTTTCAGGGATGGAGATGATTAGATAGGGTCTATCCAGATAATTTAATCTTCCACCAAGAGGTCTGTAACCTTAATCACACAAAGTCCATTTTCCAGGTAAGGGAGCATATTCACAGGTTCTGGGGATTATGGTGTGGACATCCTTGGGGATCATTATTCTGCATGCCACACTATCCTTGTGTCCATGTTACAAGTGATGAAACTGAGGCACAGAGACTAAGATCCTTCCTTGTTGAAGGTTGCATAACCAGTGAGCCAACTTTTGAATCCATGCTGCTTGGAACCAGAGCTGGAGCTACATCAGGGCTTGGATGACTGGGAGGTAAGAACACAACAGGAAAGGACAGGAGGTTAAAGAGTGGCAGAGGCGAAGTCACCTTTTGGCAGAGGTCTAAGTATGTGAACTGCATTCCTGTTGAAGGCTTATCTCTATCATGTCTAAAAGCCTAGATAATGAGAACAGAAGAAACATCCTTTTGTTGTTTTTGTTAAGGGGTGTAAATCATGCAGGGCTCATTCACGATGACAAGTATATTGGCTCCAGGAAAACCAATCAACTGTGGGTCTGTTTGAAATTGATAAAAATTCCTGACTCCTATTGCACTGGGGACAGAGGCATATGTCTTTAGCAGCTTTCCTGACTCATCAACTTGAGGAAACCTTTGTTTCAGACCTGGGAAAAATGTAAGGAAGGATGTTCCGGATATGATGGAAACACAACTCAACCCGATTCTGAACAGCTAGCTTCTCACCACCACTACTGACGAGCTGGACTTCTGTGAGCAAGCAGCTCCCTTTACTTCTCTGAGGCCCAGTTTTCTGTTTGGAAATGAATAGATACTTAAACATTTAGAAACTTTTATGATGACCATTTTGAAACACATATACCAATGGAAAGGATCATATAATAAGCATGTATACACCTACTGCCTCTATTTAATAGCTGTTAACATTTTTTTCTCTGTGTTTGTTTATGTATACAACACAAATGTGCGTGTTTGTGTGTATGTATATAATTAACTTAAAAACTTGTTTTTGCTGAACCACTTAAAAGTAAGTTGCAAATGTCTTGATACTTCACTCCTAAGTACTTCAGGGTTCATCTCTTAAGATCGGAGACATATTCCAGCATAACCATACTTTGTAACCATATTTATGGAAATTAACAATTCCCTTAAGATTATTAATAGCCAGTGCATTTTCAAATTTCCCTCCCATTGTCCTAGAATGTCCGTGTAGCTCATTTTTTTTTTCAAACTAGGATTCAACCAAAGTTTATGTTAATAGGTCTCCGTTAATCTAAAACATACATAATAATATATTATTTTCCTGGAATACATATTCTAACCACTAACAGTGCTTCATTCTAATTGTGATTTTAAGTAGGGAAGGACAGAACCACCCTTAAACTGTGTAGAGGCTGTCTTTGGGGGTAGGGGAGGACTGAGACTCTTATTCTTGGGGCAACCTTCCAGAGGCATTGCTGGCCCAGACCAGTCCAGGTACCAGAAGAGGACTTGGACAAAAAAAAAATTTTTTTAAGGATTTATTTATTTACTTGAGAGAGAGACAGAGAGAGAGAGCATGAGCAGGGGGAAGAGACAGAGGGAGAGGGAGAAGCAGACTCCCCGGTGAGCAGGGAGCCTGATGCGGGACTCCATCCCAAGACCCCGAGACCATGACCCGAGCCGAAGGCAGATGCTCAACCGACTGAGCCACCCAGGCTCCCCGGACTTGGACAAATTTGAGAAAGACTCTCCAAGGCAAGATGCCTGCTGAGGTGTGGAGGCTGAACAGGGGCCCTGCTTGCCCAGGTCAAGGGCAGTACTGGAGATGTAAATGGGATATTGAGAGAAACATCGTTATAGTGGAGAAGCATAAGTAGCATGTATAGTTAATGTATCCAGGTTTTTGTTTTTTTTTTTCAGATACTGTCCTCCTTAGTATCCTCCCTTTCTTGCCCCTTCACTCATTCAACAAGCATTTTTGAGCACCAAATATGTGCCAAGCACTGTTTTAGGCACCTTTCAAGCCAAAAATAGCAGCCCTCATAAAACTCACATTTTAATGGGGGGGGCAGACAACTATATATAAGCAAATATATGTAACATGCACATTTTATAATAAAAAATGGTAAGGAGAAACAAATGTGTAATGGGGGTGAAAGATAGAAAAAGTCAAGGTCAATGATGTTACATTTCTGATAGCACATTGGTTATCTATTGCTGAATAACAAATTGCCCCAAACATTAGAGGCTTAAAACAATAAACATATATTGTCTCACAGTTTCTGTGGCTTATCTGTGTCCTCCAGCTCAGGGTCTCAAAGCTGGAGTCAAGGTATTGGTAAGGCTGCAAACATCTCAGGGCTTGAATAGGGAGGATCCACTTCCAAGAACATTCCTGTGGTTGTTCGCAAAGATTTGGTTTCTTGCAGAAATATTTGGTTTCTTATTCAGTTTCAGTAAGGCCTTAGTCCCTTCTTGGCTCATGGCCAGAAGCTTTCCCCCATTCCTTACCACATCAATTTCTCCATAGGCAGCTCATAACATGGCAGCTGGCTTCCATCAGAGTTAGCAAGTGAGAGAGCAAGGTAGGGGATTCAAGAAAGCCACAGGCAGACCATTTGTGACCCAATCTGAGAAGTGACATCCCATCCCTCTTATTGAATTCTGTTCCTTAAAAGTGAGTCATTAGGTCGAGTCCACACTTAAGAGGAGGGGATTATACAAGGGCATGAAGACTAAAGAAGGGGTATCATTGGGGATTATCGAGAAGCTGCCTAGCACAGGTAGAGTAGCCAATGGAGGCCTCACTGACAAAGTGACATTTAAATAAAGACATGGGGCAAGTATCTCTGGAGGAAGAGCATTCCAGGCAAAGGGAGCAGAGCATGCAAAGGTCTCCAGGCAGGAGCAAGGCTGGTATATTCTTCTGTAAAAGTCATCAACTAGATGGTCTCCAAGGCTCTTCCTGACTTACTTTCATGCCTTTGGAATCAAAATGTGTTACTCAGTAAGATCTCTTTATTCAGTGAACATATACCATCTCCATATGTCAGGCTCTGTGCAAGGCCAAGAGCGCCAGCCACTCTGAGCTCAACAAACGAAAGGAAAGTCAAATCAGACCCAAAGAGGGTGGTCCTCAATTCTGATGATCTCACAATACTCTTCTTTGAGCTCAAAAAATATCTAGAAACAAAGATGCTCTCCACCTATTAGGAGCTGTTAACCTGGAGTCTGTGCATCGAACTCAGGGTTCGGGAACTTGGATGAGAAAACTTTTTATTTCTAGTTTTACTAAGCTTTAACTGAAAGTTAGCACGATCTTCCATTGTTAGCGTCTGTGTGGCAGCCCCCTCCCAGACAACCCCAATGACCCTACTCTTGATATTGACATAACCATGCAGCGTAGCCCCCACCATTTTACCAGGGTTGGTCTTTGTAACCAATAAGATGTGGAAGTGATAATATGCCACTTCTGAGATGAGGTTATAAAAGACTGCAGCTTCTGCCCTAGGCTCCTGCTCTCTCTCTCCAGCATTCATGCTGAGGGTAGCCGGCTGCCGTGTCTTAAGGTCATGTGACAGGAACTAAGGCATTCAGCCAAGAGCCAGCCAGGAACTGAGACCCGTCAGCAGCCTAATGAGTGAGCTTAGACGTGGCTTCTCCAGACTTCAGAGATTGAGCCCCAGCCCACAGCTTGACTGCAGCCTTATGGCTCTGAGTGGAGGCACCCGGAACTTGTTCCTGGATTCCCAACCCTCAGAAAGTGGGTGCGATGGTGTTTGTTATTTTGAAGTTGCTACACTGTGTTATGCAGCAATAGATAATAGATACAGTGGGTAGAAAACACAGTAGTAGTAGTACCTGGGATTTTGTCATGAAGAGAAATCACAGTCACTGTTATATTATTGTTATTATGGAGAGAATCAGTATGCTATCACTATTCTGAAAGTACAGAACTTGTTTTTCATATATATTTATATAGAGAGAATATAAAGAAGCATAAATATTTATCAAATTCAAAAACATTTTGATAATTGAATTTCAATATAACTAGTGTCCTTTATACTCCTATGTATGCATCTTAATTTTTTGCATTTAAAAACAGTCTTCAGAGGGGCGCCTGGGTGGCTCAGTCGTTAAGCGCCTGCCTTCGGCTCAGGTCATGATTCCAGGGTCCTGGGATCGAGCCCCGCATCGGGCTCCCTGCTCGGCGGGAAGCCTGCTTCTCCCTCTCCCACTCCCTCTGCTTGTGTTCCCTCTCTAGCTGTCTCTCTCTCTCTGTCAAATAAATAAATAAAATCTTAAAAAAACCCAAAAAACAAAAAACAGTCTTCAGAGAAGGGATCCATAGGCTTCACCAGACGACTGAAGAACACAAAAAAAGTGAAGGATCCTGGATTTGGAAGCTGGGCTTTGTCCTGCCGATGTGCAAGCAGACTGAGAACACTTCCTACAGGCAAAAGTAGGTTCTGCATAGCCAAGAGAGCAGCATCTTCTGGGCGCTGGGCCAGCTGCCTGCATAAGGACATGGGATGAGCATGGCTGGCCAGGCTGGCCTGTGGGAGCCTTAGCCTCAGGAGGGTGGAGCAGATTCTGCAGCAAGTTTGGACTCCTCCAGCACTGGGAGTTCCTCCTGCCCACAATTTGCACCAAACACTGCCCTCCCCTTCTCATCCAGCCTCAGAACTGCTCTTTTCATCGGCTGCCAACCCTGAAGCATGCAGAGCACAGCGGAATGCAGTCGCTGTGCTGACAGCCATGTGAAAGTCAGCACAAAGCCCCCATGCGCTGAGAGGCAGGAGGCCAGCTCGTCAGAGGCAGCCCAGAGCAGTGAGCTGACTGGGAACTCCTGTTGGAAGACCATTGCCTCTCCCGTAGATGCTCAGAAATTGTGTCTGGAGGACACTGGCCCCTGGGAGGCAGCCTCCCCGCCCTTGTGGAGGAGTAGGGAGCACCAGGAACTCTATTTCCATGATGAGGGTTTGTTCCTATTCTTAGAGGTCCCAGGTGAGAGAGCTGGAAGAAAGCTAGAGAATGTTGGCCACCCTCTGGTCTCAGTCGCATTTTATTTTATTTTTAAGATTTATTTATTTATTTTAGAGTGTGTGCAGGAGAGCACGTGCGAGGGGAGGGGTAGGGGGAGAGAATCTCAAGCAGACTCTGCACTGAGAATGGAGTGACTCGGGGCTCCAACCCAGAACCCTGAGATCATGACCTGAGCCCAAACCAAAAGCCGGTTGGTCGGTTGGTCAACCGACTGAGCCAACCAGGTGCCCCTCGGCCGCATTTTAGAGATGGGGACATTGAGAGGTAA